GTGTGTGTGTGTGTGTGTGTGTGTGTCTCAGAGGAGACTTTGCCTGCATGCTTCCTGATCCCGGGTGTGTGTGAGTGTGTGTGTGTGTGTGTCAGAGGAGACTTTGCCTGCATGCTTCCTGATCCCGATCCTGACCCCGAGTAAATAATAAACTTCCTTAATCAGTCCCCAAAGTCTGAGTATAGTTCCTCACTTGAGGTCTGAGTGGTCACAGCCACGAATTATCTTTTTTTTCCCCCTTACATAAATGTTATTGGATTGGATCAAAGCATCACAGACAAGTCTGAAGGAATAATCATCTACACCTCTTAGATCTTACTCATCAGTCTGCTAAACTGTTCCTGTTTCAGAAACATAGATACCATCCCCAAACTTAGAGATAACCTTGTTTTTCACTGCTGCGGCTTGCTGAATTAAAGCAGCTGAATCTGATGCAAGCTCAATGTCGTTTCCCCAAGAATTAACTCATCTTTCTGGGTTTGAGAAATGATACAAGCACACCTATCCTCATGGGAACTCTCCGGATGCATTTTTCACCCAAAAAGTGAAACAAGAGACCCATTCTCCTGATAACCCGCTGGTGAGGAAATGGGCACACACAGATCCCATCTTGTGTGACACCCTTGATCATGTTCTGTATCTGACTACAGATAGTGGGGACGGTAGCCAGTTCCTTGCTAGTTCCCCACCATTTGTCCACTCGAAACCTCTTCTTTGCAAGGAGGTGAGTTCTATGTGGATGTGATTGAAGTCCCTCCGCAGGGTTCCCCTGGGGCCCTTCACAATGACCATGCACCCCTTCAGGGAAATGTCCACACTCTCTGGAATGTCGACAGTCTGGTTGATGGTAATGGTCTTCATTCTCGCAGTAGATGAGGAAAAGAGAACCTATATCGTCATCATGCTTTTGTAGCCCCGGCAACAGATTATCTTATCAAACCCAGCAGAGAGGACGGTGGGAGGAGCCGCTGGTGTCAGAAGTGGGAAGAAGAGAGGAGAAAGGAGTTATGTTCGACCTCCGCCTCCTAGAAAAGAGGCTCGGGCTGAGGCTGACGATGATTCTCTCCCCTTGTGAAGTGGCAGGCGGTTGTGTGAGACCCTCACACCATGCTTACAGGGGGAGTTCGGGGTCCTGGCATTACAAACGGAAGAGGCAAAAACCTGGAACGGAAAGCAATGGAACGCGGAGACTAGATGCTGAAACCATCCTGAAGGTGAGGACCAATTCCCTGCGGTGTCTCCCAGCGTGGCTTTGACGTAGCTGCTCCTCCCCTTTCTTTTTCCCACCATTCCGGTTTCATTCCCACAAGCCATACTTGGTGACACGAGGGCATCAATGGCGGGATCAGCAGCAATGGCACGTTTGAGGGTGACTGAGGGTGTGGCCCTGCTGGACTCAGTGACAAACAGCCCCAACTCTTGCCCTGCCACAGTCATTATTCTGCTTTGGGCTGTGAGCCGCCTTTCCTCCCCCCAATGTGTGTCTGGTGAGTGGGCTGACTGCACGCAGCAAACCAGATCCATACAACTGTGTGCAGACCAAGAATCAGTGGGTAACAAGCGAGGACCTGAGAGATTCTTCTCCAGGGAAGACCTGTGCATTGTAGAGTCTGGCCTTGGCAACCACCCCAAGACACAAGAACTCAACTCAACTGCCACCGAGTGGATTAGAACTCATAGCCACCCTATAGGACAGAGGAGAATGGCCCTCTGGACTGCCGAGACTTCAAAACTCTATAGCAGCAGACTGCCTCATCTTTCTCCCACGGAGGGGCTGGTGGGTTCGAACCACTGACCTGGTGGTTAGCAGTGCAATGTGGAGCCCACTACACCACTGACAGAGCTCCTTCAAGGCATGGGAGGCTTCTGCATATCCAAGGTCCACGGCTATATTTGGGAAAATGTCCATCAGGAATAATACTACCCGTGTTTACTGATGCCTGTGCAGAGGGAACATAGAACCTCATTTTCACCAGTATTTTTTGGGGGTAGGAGGGCTGAGGCAGTATTCAAACCCAGAATCAAAGCAGGATTATCAGGATTACCAATTGTCTGTGGACCCAAGCCTTTATCCCGCCCCCACCCTCTGTAAAATGGAGGCATCTCTCCCCCAGCCCTCCCTCGGACCAGCCCACGTGTCTTCTCCCACATTTGAGATGTCAAGAGGCTTACTTAACCCCACAAAGGTTAAGACTCTAGTTCTCCTCTCTCAGAGAACCAGTTTACTCTCCCCCTCCTCCCTCCTCTTTTTGTTCTAGGACCTGGTAATTATATGCTTAGAGATGAAGGCTTTTCAAAAACATCTTTCCAACCAATTTTCCAGCTGGAAACATGCATAAAAAAAAAGATATTTTTATCCCTTCTTTTTTTCTTTTTCTTTTTTCCCCGGTCTCCTCCTTCTAGCAATGGGCGATTATGAACGTTTGCCTTCAGTCAGTTCATCTGTAAGAACTTGCTTCAGAGGGAAACTCATTTCCCTGGAGATGCAGTTTGGAGCTCTGGTCACCGGAGGGCGGGGAGAAAGACCTTGTGGAACTCAGGGGCCTGTTCACCTGGGGGGCCAGGGGGGCTTCCTATTTATTTTATTTCTCTAGGAAAGATTGCTAATTTGCCCTCATTATCTCCATCTCCACCGGGGTCCCGGGGAGCTACTGGACTTTGGCAAAGGGGAGAGGAAGTCAGGTCCTGGCCAGGCTGCTGTGTGTAGCCCCGGCTAAGTGGAGCGGCGAGGCTGGGCAAGGGCTGGGTGGGGCTGTAAAGGTCTCCCAACAGAGGCCTTGTTCAGAGGCCCCCAGGAAGGGACATTCAGTACCTGGGAGTGGCCACCAAAAAACAAATGTCCAGAGGCTAGAGTTGGGAGAGACAAGTGACTGCAGTGTCAGGGAACCGCCACCAAAGTGCCAGCCCAGCCACCCCCACACCCCCCATGCCACCGAAGAGAAGATGCCCCCAATGGCTGCTCTGGGACCAGAATTCACAACGGCACCTGCTGGCCCTGACCTTGGACACTTGCTTCTAACCTTGGCTTGACTGCCCTCAGTGAAGGCCACCGCCGCCCTGGAGGGGTGGAGAGGAAGGGTGAACTGGAGTGAGGCCAACAGTGGATTCGGATTCTGTTGCTGACTTCAGACTAGCAACCTGGGGATCGCGACCCCTTTGGGGGCCGAACGACCCTTTCACAGGGGTCGCCTAAGGCCATATTCCAGATGGTCTTAGGAACCGAGACACCGCTCTTCTACCTGTCTCCAGACAGGCCTGCCCACATGCAGATATGTCCACATACGGGGTGACACAACATGAGGAACTGTATTAAAGGGTTAGGACGCTGTATTAAAGCACGAGGAAGGTTGAGGACCACTGGGTTAGGGAGTCTAGGCAAGTGACCTCTCTACAAGCCACAGGCTTCTCTGCTTAACAGGGTGAAGGTGCCGCCCTGGGAGCCCCAGGTAGAGCAAATGTCTGAATACTCAATTCAAAGAGTTGGCTGTCCAAGAGAAGAATCGATAACACGCACCTCACTTGGGTTTTAAGATTTCTTACCCACGAAACCAAATAGTCACTGCAAAGGAATTCGTGGCCCAAATGAATCCTTTTCTTGCACCCAAGGTTGCTAATCTTTTCCATTGAAAGCCAGGAATGCTACATTTGGACTTCAAAAGGTGGAGCTGGGTAGAGGGCTTATGATCGATTATGATCTCAGTAGAAGGCAGGGGTGGGGGCACGCTCGCGCGTGTTAAGATTGGCACTGGCCCCTCTTCTCAAGCTCCCTCTTCTTCTCGTCACAGGCCTCAGGGTGCCCAGCTTCCCTGAGGCCAGGGGCTTTCCCTGGAATCAAAACGGCCTCTCTACACGCACAAAGAATACGACCTCAGATTAAACTCCAGGTTCCAATTCCATAGAGTTTGGATTGCTTTTCACAAGCTGAAAGGTGTGCAGTTTGAACCCACCTATGAGTGCCTCAGAAGAGAGGCCTGGCAATCTGCTTCCAAAAGGGGCTGGCCTTGGAACCCGGTGGAGTAGTTTTACTCGCATACAGCGGTCACCATGGGTCAGCATCAACGCCACTTGACAAGCGTCTACCCCCCTGGGCTGGTGTAGGTTATGAGCGTCTAGTCTAGCCCATGGGCTGGTGTAGATAATGAGCGTGTACCCCGTGGGCTGGTGGGAGAAAGCAATGAGGTTATGTGAGACCTAGAAGCTGAGAGAGAGAGAGAGAGAGAGAGAGAGAGAGGTGGTCTTTCTGCTTACTGTGTCTCTTCATTGGGAAGGGCAATAGCAGGTAAGAATAACTCCTATTGGTTAAGTGCCGGGTGCAATGCTATACACGTTATAAATATGATCTCACTGAATCCTCACCACTTTTTAAGGGAGGGGTATGATCTTTAGTACCCTTTTACAATGAGGAAACTGAGGCACAGAGAGGTTCAGGGAATGGCAAAGGCACCCGGCTCTGGAGTCCCTCGGGGGCCTGGGCTGCCCTCTGGGCTCCATCCAGTTTACCCCTCACTCCACAACAGCCTGGGGGCTCACAGTCAATATGCAGGGCCCTGAGAGAGCAGCCCGGGCTCCTTCAAGCCCTCCTTGGGGAAGGAGAGAGCGGACCGGAGTCACCCCGTGGCGAACGAGCCAGAACGAGCCTCCATGGGAGGACAACACGAAAACATCCACCTGGCAGCAGAGTGGCCCTTCCTGCTGCTGCACAGATCCCTTACAGAGAGGAACGGAGAGGACACAGCTATCAGTGGATTAAGCCTTGGCAGCGGATTCTCTCCGAGGCAAGGGCTGCCGAAGGGGAAGAAAATGATAAAAATAGCAACTCGGTGCTCATCTCTTCCCCGATGCCAGGCCTGGTTTATGCTTTCGCGTGTGCTGGTCCATTTCACTCCCCCAGGACCAGCAGGGGCAGGCGGCCTGATGATCCCATTTTACAGATGAGGCCCAGAGAGGTAAAGTGACGGGCCCTGAGTCCCTCAGCGGGTGAGTTGCAAATGGACTGGAAGTACAGATCTCTCTGGTGGAGTCGGGGACACCCTGGACAAACCCTGAGGTTGGCAGTTTAAACCCACCAGCTGCCCTGTGGGAGAGAGCTGAGGTGGTCTGCTCCCATAATGATGTACAGCCCTGGAAACCCTCCGTGGTGGCTAGGAGCCAGAATCGACTCCATGACTGTGGGTTTGGGCAATGGGCGGAGGTCCTATGAACCCCATCCTTAGCCTTGACTCTGTCCTCCCTTCTAAACAGAACCAGAAACAAACATGCTAGTTCTTGTCAAGTCAGCTCTAACTCCTGGTGGCCTCCCTGTGTCGGGGAGAGCTGCGCCCCACGGAGTCTTCTAGAGCTGAGTTTCAGAAGCAGACAGGCTGGCCTTTCTTCCAAGGTACTGCACTGAGACGGTAGAAAACCCCATCTTTCGCCTGCTGGTGGCGTCACACTGCTGCCCTCCAGGTGAGCAGCCCAGCGGATAAACACTATGCCGCCAGACTGCCTCCGGGGGCTCCGACCACCAACCTTGTGGTGAGCAGCGAAGGTTGGCACTGTCTGAGCAGGGGCTGCAGACCCCAGATAGAGGACAGCTAGGATGTTGGCCCGGCACTGCAGGAAGCCGGGCGGTGGGACGCAGGGCCCCCTCCCACTGGGCAGGCCAGAGCCACTGAGAGCTGCCAACCCCACAATTTCCCTGCCCTGCCCATGTGGACAGCTGGGGCATCAGCTCGCAGACCCTGCCCAGGGATTCCTGAATTCCATTCCAGCCGACACCCATCTCCATGGGTGATGGTGGCTCGGATGCCGTGTGGGGCTCCAGTTAGAGCTCAACCTCCCGCCTTCGGGGTCCATGAATCTTGCTCTCCACCCCCACTCTG